TCAACGTTTCACGTCTGCATTTATCTATAATTGAATGTGATGCCGTTTTTAATCTAAAAGTCGCATTTTTGGTAATTATTCGAATATGAGACAGTGAAAGTCGCTGTAATTGATTTTCGTGATCGGAAACAGCCGTAAAAGTAGGTACGGCAAACATAATCAAAATCGATCGGTGAAATAAATTTTTAGGACTAAGGTTTCCATCTACCCTAATCGCAAAGAACATATTCCACGATAACATCGCATGTCCGTGATGTTTGTTATCACTCGTAGAAACACGGATATTATTTGATGGAATCTTTATCGATGCATTAATAGCGCATTAGCTAGGTGCACGTAGAATTACTAAGTAGTCATCATATCCTGAATTTTAATCACAGATTAGCCACAGAATAAGAGTAATTTTGATTCTGAAAATAGAACTAAATAAATCGATTATTTATTTAACAGGGCAAAATACGAATGATAAGTATCGGTTAAAACATCGTCCCTTGAGGCGATGTTAGGTTCAACACAGAGTCAAGTGTCTTGTTGTTATACTCCACGATCTCTCAAATTATCCGTGTTCAAATACATATACTTATATTGTAAGCATATATCATGAGGTACAAATGTTAACAAGTCAATTTTGACATAGAAAACGTATAACTTGAAATCGTTGTCCTTGGCTCGTGTCATTTGAAGTAGAGTGGTAAATCTTTGCGGGAATTCTACTTAACAATCTTGAGAGCATTCATAAAAAAACGTTCATTAAGAACAAGAAATAACTTTGATATACAAGGCAGATATGACAACAGTTGGAATCGATCTCAGAATAGTATCCATCGTACCCAATGCATATTTGTAGTATAAGCGAATATTTTATATATATGCATATTAAGTTTACATCAATTATAGTTTTGATGTGCTAGTAAATGTTGATGTAAATAATGTCTCCAAGCGAAATTCTATTATTAGTAACACAGAACATTAGTACTTCGATAAACGTGTTTCGCATGCCGAGTCGTAAGATTAAGTTTTTCATTAGAATGTTATAATAATATGAAATGTTATTCCAACTGCATCATAGTCACCATCATTATTTCAAACACGGTTTTTTGGAGGTTTCATGGTTCAAAATATTTAAATAATTTAAGTTGTTTACTGGCACAACAGCTAGTAATAATATTTATATCAAATATATACAATATATACAATACTCCTTACAAATGCGTGTCTTTAGCTTTGACAGTTATCAGGTAGTCATAGTGTAGCTGCAATGGCAACTACATTATGTTTACCCGAATACAAATAAATTAAAAGACAAAGACAAATTAGGTAATGTACAGGTTTGTCTTATCACACATACATAAACTTTTATTCCCTAAATCTTAATTGAGCGAATCTAATTTAATTAATTAGTAAACAAATTGCATGCTATTCGCCAAACTGAAAATGAAGCATATTCAACAAAGGTGTCAAATTAAAGCCTTGGTCGAACCTTTTTAAAAAAATGTCTTCTTGTATTATATCTTTCATCGATAACCTAATACATCTTTTGAAGACTGTATTTCAATAAAGTATGCATTATGTGTGCAATCAGAGTAAAATGAGATCATAGTTTTTAAATAATAATATTTAGTTGCTAGTAAGAGTTTTTAAAACAATTGTTATCGTGGAAGTCCACATTATGTGTCGATAATGAAAGCAACACACAACCAATGTACATAAACAATACTTTACAAAACACGATTAAACCAGAGTAAACAACAACACACGGAATCTAAGTTATGTGACGTCAGGTATTCGAAAAAAGTGAGCATTTCCATATATCATACTGACTTATAACCAAATGATTCATGTAAGGAACCCGAGGTCGATATCAGAAAATTGATGCAATCTGAAATCATATAAGTGTTATCACATTTAATTATAAACTCATTATGTAACCAATACGCTGTTTGATTGTTTCGGTGTTTCGTTTTCTATTAACCGCTTTGTGCAATAGCCTGGAGAAAAGAAGTTAATTTCTCTATGAATTATCCCTAATACATACCTCGGCATAACGAATGCGCTGAAAGAATGTAACCCTAATGAAGGTAACATCTCATTTAGCAATAGATAATTTCTACATTACAGTGTAATCCAACACGTACTTACACGAGTTAACATATTGTATCGCTAACTTCCCTTTTACAACGACAAACATCACAATATCTACTATAAAAATATATATCACAATCTCAAACTGTTTTGTTTTAAAATATATATTTTCCGCTACCAACAAATCTGGTACATGTTTCTAGGCAATCGGATTCTGATTTAAAGAACCTTTTTTTTTAAATTTGTGTGTAATTAGTTTTGTTTCATATATTTATTTAAATTTATTTTTGGTAGTGAAAGTAAGATATATGTGATAGAAATATACCAAGTATACAGTCAAAATGTATGAAATAAAAAAAAACTTACAAACCTTAAAATGCGTCAGATTTTAATTCTTTTCCCAGGTAATGTAAATCAACTTGTCATTATCCATCTATGTTATTTATACCCGGTATATATTCAAAACACATATATGAGTATTGTTTTTTTGAATATCAAAAATAATAATGATAATAATAATTCCAGATGTACATGCAATATACAGCAAAACGAAAAGATAATTCTGAAAATTATTTACGAAATAATGAGATTCCTCGGCATTGCTTCGCATAATTATTTTTCAACATGAAAGTGATTAAGACACATCTCGATTGAATATTAATTTTCGTGATTTGAACATTTGAGGATGATGGGCATGTCCCAAAATTGGTACCTGAATTTTCTATATTCTATATTGTTCGCAAGTTATTTGTTAAGTTGAATTATTTCCACGTTTTCCTTCAATGAATACAGATGTACATCTAACTTATAGTGTTATTAAATTTATTCGTTTGTAATATGTCATACTCTGGAGATTGCTACTAAACGAATATAAGAAGAGATAAGACTTGCTATAATTATTTGTGAAAAAACAAAAGAAAAACAAAACACAAAATAAATATCGAGTTGAATCTTTTACTTTGTTGCGAAAAGCGGACGTATACTTGTCTATGTTGTTCAACATTGTGCTTTCCCTTGCATCAAGAAAATTACTAATCTTTGTAAGTACGTATGAGATTAGTCGGCTTTTTGTCATTGATAACAGTATCACCAGTGATTGGAAATGGTAAGATGTAGTAATTATTGCGCGAAGTGGTACTTGTGCGTCATAGAGCGGCTCACGTGATTTGTCACTGCTAATTACGGCCATATAGCAAACAATTACAGAATGAAGATGAGACAACACTCATATATATATTACCATCAGTCTTAATGGCCCGTCGTGTCACAAATTGCAGACACAAACCCTGATGTAATTTGCACTGAAGATGAACCGAGTGATGAAAAAATCAGATATTACCTACGAAAAACCATTAGATTAATTATTATTCTAGAACGAGGATGAATTTTATCCCATTGCTTGTAAGCGATATTCTTAAGTGCCTCCACCATCTGCGTTGTCTGACGTGATCAGTAAGACTGGTAGCGTTTGGATCATATCATAGTGTCATATTGCATCAAATCCTAAAGTTAGGAGAAATCAGTTTGCAACATCCAGAAAAAAGAAAGATTTAGGATACTAGGTAAGTGTTTTTCACAATAAGGCAGACTATTTATTAAGTAAACTGCCTAATTTGAATATCTTGTTTCCCATATTGGCGAGCATGCTTGGGGGAAACCAGCAGTATACGCAATACTGTTTCATATATCGTTGTACATTTGGGCGTGTCTAGCGTGGATTTATGAGGAAAGAACAAGTTCCAAAAATGTTTTTATATACATATTTTTTGTTTTTGGATTGGTTCAATTACAGCTTATATTTAACAGTATAAACGCAGTTTAATGAGAGTTGTCAAGTGGGAATAAACGACCGAGATGCCACTTGAATTGATAAAACACAAAACGAGCCGATGTACACCGAGCAGTTAACGAAGCCATTAACAGAAGTCTTCGTCTATTCTAGGAACACACTTAATGCTTTGTATATAACACCTTTTTAAGTGTTTCAAGCCCAGAGGCATGTTCATTTTCATGGTTGCGTGTTATTTGAAAAGTACAACCTTGATTGTTTGTGATAACATGACTCTCGAACTTGTAGTACAAACAAGCTGTCCGTCATTGAAATGCAACACCACTAAAGATGTACCAAATTATATGCGTCTTGTAATAACGTTATACCCGGGCTGTGAACAATTTCTAAAAAAGATTACTAAGATATATAAGAAATGATACTCCTTATAGAAGATCTCATTTCTAAACTGACCACACCCAATTCTGAAACGTAATTCGATTCGATCTGTTTATGCCCTAAAATTCTTTCGTACTCCGCACTTGAATTTGATATTATAATTGAGTAAACGCTATTGTTATGAACATGAGTAGATATTATGTAAAACACTGTTGTCAACCATAATTCTTTTTACAGAATAGTTGGATTTTTCCCATCGAAATTTTAACATCCCCCTTCAAACATTTCTCCGATAAAAAATCTCCCACTTTCGTCCGAGTGACATCAACAATTATTTACCTTAGTCTATAGCAAATTGAACACATTATAATTTATTCATGGCGGGAATATGAAAACATCTGATGAAAAACCTCCCACGAGTATTTGTTTTTATATAATCTATTAATACATCGTATATTACAACCCACGCGAAAAATATGACAAATCTAGTAGTGGAAATAATAACTCTAATCTTGCGAACAGAAGACATATGATATCCTTATTAATGCGTATTTGTCATCGCGCGCAATGTCTGCTCGTGATTAAAAAAATATTCACCAGTGATACAAACACTCAACAGCGGGACACTTTATATTATCATTTCACGCTATTTATTCGGACGGCGGGTTTTAATATAGCACATGAGCTCAACAAATATTTATCATTGATGTTTTAATGGACATTATTAATTTGAATTTATAATTAAGTACGAATGTCGGAACGTGCTCATGCCTATGCCATACCAATGCGAAAGAAAACCGAGTGTCGCATTAAAGTGATAGTTTATGTGCGTAGGTAAGCATGACCGCTCAAGCAAAACTCGTAACGAGACTTCGCGGATTTCTTCTCATTAAAGAAAAGGCATTGAGAACGTTTCACACGCAATTACACCACGTAGATCGTCCAGATCTGCTTCCATACCAGGTGGTATTCACAATGAATGGAGGAGACACCTGGAGCACAGTATATTCAAAATGCACAAAAAAACAAAAAAAACAATCGATTTGCTGGCAAAGCAGCGGGCACCACCTGTTGAAGCAAAATGAAGCCGTAATTAACGTGGTTTCCGAATGCGCGAATTATAAAACGGATATAATTAATCAAATATACGTTTTATTTTAGTCGCAATAATTCATCATCTCGGCAACTATTTGGAGTGAGGTGTAGTATATCCTTGTCATCGTTGCTTTCTGAAAAGGCCTTTTAACATTAAGTCATAATGTTTACTCAAAGTAAACATACCCATCAACTTTTACTGATCTCTCCGATTGATTTTGCCGTTGCTGATGATACGTCGTTTTATTTGCTAAAGAAGTGCAAATAAGTACATTCAATTTGCGGCTGTTGATGCGTTATAGATTTAGCCAGAGATAGCATCGTCAATTGCATAAAATGCGGAGTTGAACAAATATCAAAACTTATATCTGGAAAGCTCCAGAAATTTGATATTGAATAAAATGACCAAGTTATGATGTTGATATTACATTATTTTTTGCGATTGAGTTACCACGTTTGCTAGCAGTGTGATATTAGATACACTTTCTATTCAGATTTAATTCTATCAATATTTATTTGATAGAATCCATTCTTATATACACATATATACATTTCCCGATGTACACACTTTGTGTGGTCTTCATTGAATTTCGTATCGAGGCATGACAAGTCCACAATTTAGGTTATAACGACGAGGTATATTTATTGTATTTCCTCTATAGCCAGCAACTACGTGGCGGTACGTGTGATCATTTCATTGATCATTTCGTTTCTACTTCCGCTCGACTTTGTTAGTACACACACGTCATATTGCGTGGTCTGATGGGGACTACAAAGAATTGCGTTCCTGAAAAATAAATGCAAACAAATCAACATTGCAGACGAATTGACACGATCACATAAGTGCGTACTGTTTCCATATTTAGGTCGGCAGCAACAATTTCGAATTTGCATTCATATGTAAAAGGACTTGCTACGCACAGCGCACCGAGAGCTCAACTGGTACAGCTGAATGTCAATTCCGAAATCGAAAGAAATCGAATTCAGTTTGCGCTAAAAGGTGCCACGGGCAAGCTAATTGGGTGAAACAGTTTTGTCATCCAAGACATTGACATGAATGATTTCAGTAGATGATAATTGTTATTGTTGCTCCGCAAGTGTCACCTGAACCGACACACACTCTGAAACGATTGGACAGGTGGCACAATTTTTAATGATTTTTCTTGAGGTTATTACGCAAAAAAGTACGTTTTTTTGAATGAGATGAGAATTGATAGAGACAGAACAACAATGCGCTGTAATGCAATCAATACCAATAGTTATCATTCCGGAAAGCCGTCGTGACATGAATACGGAAAAAAGGAGGGCGGGCACGGAGAGTCGTGTTTATAAGTAAATCGCGACACAAGCATGACAGTTTAAATGAAACTAGAAAAATAGTAAATATGAAAAATACATGAAATTTATGAAATTTATACAGTGCAATAACGTTATGAGTGATACAGATTTTCATTCGAGCCACTGAAACCATTTTTAATGTACATGTACATATTATGCACTCGTATTATTCCGCCGGCAGTCTTCTTAACTGATTGTAAAAACCGTACGCACGCATCTCTCAATGCAGTTAGTTTACATACTAGTATATACAACAACGTGATATTAAGGCGGACTACAAAACAAGTGATAACTAACTGTGACACTGTTTTTTTTTTTAAATGTCAATGGGATAAAGACAAACTTAATGGAACGTGTCAAACAAGGAGATAAAACGTACGAATGGAAAAAATGACCAGAAGCACTTTTGGAAATCAAAAACGAAATAACAACTTAATAATTATTTGTTTGCGTATATCTAACGTTTTTCTACAGGCAATTCATCTCCGTTTTGTTTTATATAGATTAAGGCATGTACGAATGTTTAATACCCGCACATGCACTGTATATATAATTAAACTCTTTGGACACAGTACTATGTGGGTGAAACAAGACTGTTTTTCACATGAAAGTATCAGAGGCATGTGCCTAGCAAGTTGCGTTGCAACTAGGGTTCGCAATTCGTCTTCTCGCTTACTCCGCTCACTGTTGGGGGTCACCAGTAGAGATGAAACTCCAAACAAAGTGCACTGAAATGTTCTCGTAAAAAACAATTACTACTAATATTTATACATGGTAGAACACGCTGTAGCAATGATGATGCAACGCTAATTCAGAACTGTCTTTATCACTTATCGGTAATTCCGTCACAGACGTGCCTCTGTCACAATCGTTTTTCGTCCGTGTCACCAACTAATCACGCTTATCAGACCGATTAACACAATTATTGCATCAATTCTCATAGACTTAAACTCATTACTGTGGAACAAGCTCACAATATTAATCCACCATGGCAAAGCAACCCAGAAGAAAACAGAGACATTATTTATGACATATCAATTTACTTGCACCAACCATTGCTTGATACGTGTCATTTCCACTCAATCAGTGGGGGTTAGCATTCCATTAAGGATATAATGCATGTTTTGAAGAAAATTATAGTCATGTTAACGCCAATTGTATCCCAGCGTGTTGATATATTATCGTGTTTTTTACATACATTGTGTCCAGCCGAGAAAATCTTCTGCTTCGTGTAATTGACATATTGGGGATTTTACGTCATCCAACACTATTTACACGTTGCCCGCACTTTCAAAATTGGATGCTTTTGAGGAAAGATACAACAAATTACTAAAATACCCTTACGACGTGGCAACAAAACCACTTTTATAAGGTGATTTGGCAGCGTGGTTTTGAAGTCTTCACGATGCATTGTGGACAAAACTACAGTGTACAAATCAAGATTATCACACACATTTGTGTGAAAATGAGAATTAGAATATATGCGATTTACAGCGTAGTAAGCCGGTTATCCCATCTAAAAGCAACGCGATGCTATTACAGTAATTCGTGTGTCCGCCTGCGATGAACCCTAAATGACCGACAAGTTAAAGAACCCCTTCGATAAAACTTTTTCCAGTTGAGATGCGTGATTTTCCAA